CGATCGCCTCCTCCCTCATCCTCCTCCTCCTCCTCTGCTATGTCTGCCTCCTTTGGCGGCTCCTCCTCGGCCCTCGCCGCCGCTCTGGAGCAGGTGGGCAGCCCCGCCGCTGCGACATGCGACACGGCGCATGCTGCACGGCATTCCTGCGGCGCCTGTAGCGCCTGTCTGTGCGGCAAGTCCCTTGGGGGTACATATCCGGATTGCATATCCGGATTGCACAAAACGCAAGAGGCAAGCTGCTCAAAACTCCGTCGTCGCAACTTGCCACCCTTGCAGGGCTGCCTGGCTGCGGTGGACATGGACGCTGAGCTGGCGACACGTGGCGCCAACCTGGCGCTCGCCTGGCACCTGCTCTACAACCCCGCCTGGCAGGTGGGTGGGCGCCTGCCTGCCTGCCTGCCTGCCTGCCTGCCTGCCTGCCTGCCTGCCTGCCTGCCTGCCTGCCTGCCTGCCTGCTGGAGTTTGGGGTTCCATGCCTGGTTGCCGTGTGGTGTGTTTGTGTGTGGGGGGAGGGGTGAGGTGTGTGCGTGCGTCCATGTGGTGGTGGGCGGGAAGGGGCCTGCCTCCTCAACGCCTCTGCCCTCTCCCTCCGGTGCCCCACCCCCATGCCCCCCACCGCCCACCTGCCTCACACCCGCCCCTTGAATCCCTCGCAGCTTCCCTCCGAAGATCTGGAGGCAGCCTGGCGGGACGCACTGGGCGAGACCGACCCCCTGACCGAGCAAGCGCCCGGCGCCTCCCCTTCCTCCGCCTCCCGCGGAGCTGCTGCCTCTGCCTCTGCCTCCGCCTCTGCCTCCCCAGGAGGCTCTCAGGCGGAGCGCGAGGCGGCGGCCGCGGGCGACGCCGGCGGCGCCGAGGCGCTGCGGGCGGCCGTCGGGCGCCGCGTGCGGCGGCTGGCGGAGCGCGCCTTTTGGGACGGAGTACAGGTGGGCTGTGTGTGTGTGTGTGTGTGGTGTGTGCGTGCGCGCATGTGTGTGGTGTGTAATGGCGCGAGATGCGATTGGCTGGGCTGTCTGAGGCGCCTGCCCCCCACCCCCCACCCACCCACCTTCTTTCTTCCCAACAACCTCCCGCGCCCCTCCCGCCCATTGTGCGACAGGAGAAGCTGGCCGGCGGCGGCGGCGCCGCGGCGGCGGCGGAGCAGGCTGCCGGTCTGCTGGCGGAGCTGGGGGCTCAGCTGGGCGAGGTGCTTCCCGGCAGCTGCCCGGAAGCCGAGGAGGTGGCGGCGCGACTCGACCCGCACCTGCTGCTGCAGGAGCTGCTGGGCGGCGGGGCCGGCGGCGCCGGCAGGGCAGATGGTACCGGCAGTACTGGCAGTACCACCGGTACCGCTTCTATGAACGTCCCCGCCCTGCTGGGCCTGCTGGACTGGTCTGCAAGCCTGGTGGCCCGCATGGGGGCGCCTGCGCGCGACGCGGCCGCCGCCGCCGCCCGGGCGGCCGTGCAGGCGCAGCTGGCGGACGACGGTACGGGCGGTACCGCGGCGGCCGCCACCCGCGCGCTACGCCTGCTCAGCGTGCAGCTCAAGCTGCTGCGCCTGGACGCTGGTGAGAGGGAGAGGGAGGGGGAGGGGGAGGGGGAGGGTGTGCGGCTCCGTGTGTGTGTGTGTGTGTGTGTGTGTGTGTGTGTGTGTGTGTGTGCGTGTGTGCGGCGGTTGGGTACATGTATGGACAGTCATGCGACTGTCGGTTGGGTGTGTTTTTG